TAAACAGCCTAATCAATTATTCAGTTAAACGTTAAATAAATAAACATGTAAAAGAAATAACAAAATGTAAGCCAGGCCAGATGGAATTTGTAGAGCTCACTCGCCAGCAATTTGTGTGTCACGTAGCTTGGCCCCATGGCTGGGGAGACGCCTCCGGCCGGACCAAGTCAAGTGACAATGTGCTGCGCGGAAGGGAGGGCGGGGGCGGGTGAGGGCAACAATTTATGTGCGCTGCAATATTTTGCAAATATCCATAGCATATCCTGCGGCGACAGGGCAGACAAACAACAATGCAATAAATAGTCAAGTGTTGGTTCTTGTGTTGCCGGTGTCTCTGTGTGTGTGTGTATGTGTGTGTGTGTGTACTTGTTGTTTTCGAAGTGTGTCCTTCAATTGACATATTACACTTGTTGTTGGTCTGCTCGCGGCCGCTTTCAATCCTTGCCTGTTTGTTGTTGTCAGCCGCAGACAAAGACGGCAGACGAGGAGGCGAGGGGACGAGTCTGACCACCCGCTCCTCCTGTCTGGCTAGGATAGACCACAGGGTCTATCCGCCTACTCAAGCAGGCTTCACTTATTGACAGCAGCCCAGCGAGCTAGCGTCTAATTGATGTACTCTCTCGCCCTCTCTCTCTCTCTCTCTCTCTCTGCCTCCCTCTCTGTGAAACTGGAGGCAAAAAATAGCTGAAGAAAAAGGGTTAAGTGGCCAATTTAGCTGCGGTTCAATGATTCTTCATTGGCATTAGGCAATTTATTAAGGAACAACGAGAAAAAGCATTTACTGAATTAAGCGCCTAACAAGCTTGAAGGACACTGAAAATTTACGAAAAAATATCCGCATAATTCCATGGCGCGTATATAAATACTGAAATACATATATATATATATGTGTATATGTATTTATGAAGAAATCCATTTTGGCAAAGTTGAGCGCATAACTCAAATGCTTTTTGCCTTAGATGGGCCTCAACTGACCCTCGTTGGGTTTTTGTTTTTGCCAGTCGAGAGCAAGCCATGAGAATTTACATAAATTCCAGTCATTGACTTAAACGCACAAACATTTCAATGCATATTTCAAGTTGGCTGGGACGACTGAGCAGCCAAATAACATGACAATACCCTAAGGCGAATATATCGAAGAAGAAGAAGACGAAAAAAACAACAAAAACGTTGAAGTTGAAGCAGCTTTATTGAATTTGCTTCTGGTCCGGGCTTAAAGGGATAATATATGCAACTCTTGGCTGGCAGAAAGTTTTTTTATTTGCCCTAACGCCGGCAGCGCCTCAATTGCCAATCAATTTGGCTTTTACTCTCTGCGGGCCATTAAAGCCGACAACTGTTTTCAAGTGACAGTAGAGCCGTAAAAGAGTATCATATGTGAGGATGAGTGTGTGCTTGACTGCCTAATACTCTGTACTTGAATATAAGTGGGACAAACAACAAAGTGCTTTTGCTTTAATGCTCGATCGCTCCTCAATATTGTCCCTGAATATTATATTAAATAACATTCACTTGAAAAATTATATATTCTTATGGAATTGAAGATTCATTACAGTCGTAATTCCTCTTAAATAATATATTCCGTGTGGTATATTGTACATA